GCTTTGGTTCAAATCGGTTCGGGTTGGTTCATCTGCCGTAACTTATTTTGACTTGGTTCGACTCTCCTAGTTATGGTTATCTCCTTTCTAATATCAATTTGTGGCCTGATTTGATTTGGTTAATTACTATCTGTGGTGTGATTCTGTTGTCAGCTTTTGTTCAGGCCAAGTTGTTCARGACAAGTTGTTTATTTAAAATGGTCCAAATCTCAACTGACAATGGTAGAGAAATGTTTGGTGATAGTCGTGGTGACTCAGGTATAGAGCAAATTCATCAAATCCTAAAATTGCTATCCTCCAATTTACCTTCTAATAACTCATGTGTATCCTTACACAAACAGGTATTTATTCTAAGGCTTTCTCGTGTAGTAACTCATCTCCATGGATTATAGATTCTGGAGCTTCTGATCATATGACAAGTTCTTCTAATCTCTTTGAATCATACCTTCCTTCATATTCCAATGAAAAAGTTAGAATTGCAGATGGTAGTTTTTCTTCTGTTGCAAGAAAAGGAACCATTAAATTGATGAGACCATTTCGTTACAGTATGTCCTCCATGTTCCACAATTAACCTGTAATCTTTTATCTGTCAACCAACTTAAAGATTCTAACTGTCGTGTTACTTTCTTTGAATCCTATTGTATTTTTCAGAATCAGAACTCGGAGAGGATAATTGGCTGCGGTAGGATGCTTGATGGTCTCTACTACTTTGGTGAAGGTACCTTTAGTAATAAAATAACTCAGGGCCTTAATAGTATTAGTTCTCTTTCTGTTAGGGAACAAATTATGCTTTGGCATCATAGACTAGGACATCCCAGTTTTTTCTATTTAAAATATCTGTTTCCAAAGTTATTTAAGGGAATTGATTGTTCATCTTTTAATTGTGAAAGTTGTTTTTTAGCAAAAAATCATCGCTCCACATATTTTTCAAAACCTTATAAAGCTTCCAAACCATTTTACTTAATTCACAGTGATGTTTGGGGTCCTTCTAAAATCAGTACTCATAGTGGAAGAAGATGGTTTATTACTTTCATTGACGATCATACTCGTCTGTCTTGGGTTTATTTAATGTCAAAAAAATCTGAGGTGAAAGACATTTTCAAAAACTTATATGAGATGATTGAAACTCAATTTCAAACAAAAATTTGTATTTTACATTCTGATAATGGAACTGGGTATTTTAATGAGTTTTTGAGAAATTTTTTGAAAGAAAAAGGTATGGTTCATCAGTCTACTTGTCGGAATACTCCTCAACAAAATGGGATTGCTGAAAGAAAAAATAGGCATTTACTTGAAGTAACACGTGCTATAATGTTTTCTATGCATGTTCCAAAATATTTATGGGGGGAAGCGGTTCTCACAGCGACCTACCTAATAAATAGGATGTCTACTAAAGTTTTAAATTTCAAAACTCCCATTGAGTCATTTAAAAATATTTTTCCAACATCCCGCATATATTCTGATCTACCTCTCAAAGTTTTTGGGTGTACTACTTACGTTCACACACCTAGTCATTTCAGGTCGAAACTTGACCCTTGCGCTATTAAATGTGTTTTCTTAGGCTATGCTTCAGGTAAAAAAGGTTACAAATGTTTTGATCCTCAGACAAAAAAAATTTTTGTGAGCGATCTTCAGATTTCTAAGCTTAGCAGAAATAAGATAACCTGCCCACCTGTAGGATCTATCCTCCGAAAGCTTGGATTCAATTAAATTGATACAGTCCTTATCTTTTACTTATCATATTAACAATAGAAAATATCAATTAAAAGCATAACTAGCCCCTCCCCCTTCTCCTGAACAGATCAAGAGCCCTATTAGTACTAACATGTAATACTGACACAAAATTAGCAAACAATTTGAGGCTGGCTGGCAGGGAGGCTGGCTGGCTTTGAAGGTTGAAAGACTTGGCTGCCTTCAGTTAGCTCGTATGTTAAATATTGCACGATCTCTTCTTTGCCCAAAAATTTTTCTAAAGCACTGTTCAAAGTTAAGTGTCCTAAAAAGGTGAATACTCATTTTTGGATGACCTTTCACAAGAGAGTAATTAAATACGGTAGATGAGATTGAAAAAGGGTACTCATTCTTGTGAGTCCAAAGGTCTGTGTCCCTTGTTTTAAGGAGGAAGAAGACATCAATCTTTTATTTTCATTGTAAATGCAGTAGTAGAGTGTGGGTTGCTCCTTTCCAGTTTTTGGTATTCATTGGATCTTTGGTCTTGGTCGAATAATCTTGTGTCTTTTCTAGAAGGTAGAGGGATTAATCTTAGAATCACTTTATCCTTTTTTTTTTTTATATAAGAAACTGAGCTTTCATGCTCATTGAGAACCATGAAAGAAAATACATGGGACATACAAAAAACAAGCCAGCAAAAGGAATCCGCATACAAAACACTTAATTGGGAAGAAGGCCTTAGAAACTGACACATATAAAGAGGTATTAAATCTAACTAAATCTCAAACTTCCTCCAGGACCTATCCACCCCCAAA